GGCCTGGCCTCAAGGGGCTGGCACTCTCATTTCCTGTCTCTTGAAACGCCTGGTCTTGGAGTGCTCACTGTGGGAGAAGCCAGCCACAATGTTAGAAATCAAGCTACCCGGGCGCCTGGGTGGCTCAGTTCGTTAAGCGACTGCCTTCGGCTCAGGTCATGATCCTGGAGTCCCGGGATCGAGTCCCGCATCGGGCTCCCTGCTCAGCAGGGAGTCTGCTTCTCCCTCTGACACTGCCCCCTCTCATGCTCGCTCTATCTCATTCTCAGTAAATAAATAAATAAATAAATAATAAATAAATAAATAAATGAATGAATGAATGAATGAATGAATGAATGAAATCACGCAACCCACAGACCACCAGGATGCGAGAAGCCCAAGTGATGGGGAGAGACTCTGGAGAATAAGATGAGGTGGGAAAGATGGGGGAAGCAAGATGCACACGGGCCATCTTAGAAGTAGATCCTCCAGCCCCAGCCAACACCATATGGATCAGAGACAAGCACCCAGCTAAGCCCCGCTTAGATTCCTGACCCACAAAACTGTGAGGAAGACAGAAGGGTTATTTTTAAGCCACTGCATTTTGGGGTAGTATGTTATGCAGCAATAGTGAATAGGAGCATAAGGCAAGGTAGGCAAGTTCTTGAGAAGAGGAGATGCTCCCACAAAGCCAAAGGGTCAAGGGGCCACCTTAACTGGACCAGAGTGGGGAGGGGTGCCATGGCAGAAGCAAAGCCTGAGAGTTCCAAACAGATTACACCCAAACAGGTCAAGGGTGTTGAGAATTCTGGTCCTGCTGGTGTGGTGGGTCAGCTTGGTTTCAAGTACCAACTCAAGACCAACCAGGGCAGAACACGCCTCAAAGAGCCATTTGGGGGAATTACGCTACTTGCTCCTCCCTCCCAGATACCCAGAAAAGGGGTATCCTCATTAACTGCACACACATCTATGACAGACCCCTCTCCATCCCCACTGCCAGAAAGGCAGTTCTGCTAGGACCACCTACTCCCCTTGACCACACCCCTTTTATTAATCCCACCTCCCAGGAGCCACCAACAAAGCAAGTCAAGGACACACAAGTGGCACTTTCAGGTAGCCCTTCCAGAAAGCATTTCTCCTATCCCCCTTCCCAACAGCCCCAGACTTCCACTGTGGCTCCAGGTGGCCCCCAGGAGGTCAACTCCATATTCTACAAAACACATGACCTAAACTGAGTCACACAGTCCATCCCATATTGGTTCAAGGGTGGCCATGTGACCTAAGCTGGCCCAATCAAAGTGACCTTCAGGACTTCTGCTTGAAATGGAGAGACAAAGACTTGCTCTCCTTCTTGGGATGGTGAACTGTGAAGACTGCAACCATCATGACCATCCTGCAGAAGGCCTGCCTGAGGACAAGGCTGACATGCACGGGGGGAAAGCAGGGCTCAGAGAATCCCAGAGAACAGTCACAGTGGTGATGACAGAGGGCATCTAGCCCAAGCTGAACCTGAACTCATCATACCTCCACATGCTTCAGTCATAAAGCAGTAAGCTCTATTTCAATGAAGACAGTTGAGGTGGGTGGGGCATAAAGGGAAGAGCTGCAGGTAGTGAGGAAAAGTCTGAAAGGTGGGGCGGGTAGGGAACAGAACAGGAAATAAAGGGAACAATCTTCCCACTATTCAATCCTTAACAACAAGTTAAGAGACATAAACTAAATGTAAATTTAAAATAAAGTTCTAGTCATTAAAGAGCAAAGGAGTAAAAATAAACACTAAATCTAATTAAGTCAATAGCCAAGACATGGAAACAACCTAAGTGTCCACTGATAGATGAATACATAAAGAAGAGGTGGTATATAGACACAAGAGAATACTATTCAGGAAGAAGAAGGAGAAGGAGAAGGAGAGGGAGGGAGAGAGGAGGGGGGGGAGGAGGACGAGGAGGGAGAGGGGGAGAAGGATGAGGAGGGGGAGGAGGGCGAGGGGGGGGAGGAGGGGGGGGGGGGGGGGGAGGGGATGAGGGGGAGGAGGAGGGGGAGGAGGGGGAGGAGGAGGAGGGGGAGGAGGGGGAGGGGGAGGAGGGGGAGGGGAGAGGAGGAGGGGGAGGGGGGAGGAGGAGGGGGGGAGGAGGAGGGGAGGAGGAGGAAATCCTGCCATTTGCAAGAACATGGATGGACCTTAAGGGCTTTCAGTCAGACACAGAATGACAAATACTATACAATCTCACATACATGTAGAATCTAAAAACCCATCTTATAGATTCACAGCACAGATTGGTGGTTGCCAGAGGCAGAAGGTGGAAGGTGAGTGAAATGGGTAAAAGTGGGCAAAAGGTTCAAACCTCCAGTTGTAAGATAAATAAATTCTGGGATATAAGGTATGCCGTAGTGACCAAAGCTAACAATACTGTATCACATATTTGAAAGTTGCTAGGAGAGTAGATCTTAAAAGTTCTCATCACAAGAAAAGTAAAACTGTAACTACGTGAGGTGATGAACTAACCGAATGTAATACTGGCAATCATTTCACAATATACCCAGATATCAAATCATCATGTTGTACAACTAAAGCTAACAGGGTGTTACATGTCAATTGTATTATAAAACTAGAAAAAACATTTTCAATTTTTTTCAAAAAGGAAATTAAACTACTTCATTTAAGTCTTAAAATTGTCAAAGCAGCCCCGAGAATCCTAAAATAAAGAAAATGTATTTATTAGCAGTTGGTTTGTGTTCCATCAGCCTTTTAGCTCTCAGAGGGCTTTTCATACTGGGGCTGGAAACCAAAAACTCAAAATTAAGCAAAACATTACAAGTGTGTAAAACATGCTGTCTGCATCCTGTTCTACCAAAGACCATAAAAGAGATAAAAAGCTGAAAGAGCAAGAGAGGCACTGTTGTTTCACTGAAGTGCTTCTGAAAGGCCGAAGGATTTGGAAATAAATTGATTAAAACTCTTCGCATAAATCACGTCAATTTTTATCAAAACGATCAGATGTATGATATCCCCACATACTTAAATTGTGGCCCATTATAAAATTATAGTGTTTATAGTACATTGCTTCAGGCACTTCAGAGAATTATCTGGATAAAATACATATCATTTCAAAAAGTAAAAGGAATACAAAACACCTAATAATACACAAAACACTCCTCTTCAAGGACTCAGATGAAAGCTGTTTTGTTTTCACTTGAGCATTCTTTAACAACCACTAGTGTTCTCCCATTTAAAGTGCCTTCATTTACGCTTTTATACAGGGCTTCAGTACATTCTAAAATACGTCTGAGATTACTCAGAAATGTGATGATTCTCAAATATCAAGCACAGAAGACAATGATGACAGCATTTAATCCTCAGCTCAGCAAAGAGAAATAATTATTCAGAGGACCTGACTTAATTACTAATTTTGGGAAGAAACATGTTTGCAGCAAAGCCATGCCAAAGGATCCCAGTGGACACAGGGTGAGAAAAAATACTGGAGACGTCCATGACCAGAATTATGAATGGAGCTCTAAACTTGGATTATTTCCAGAACAGGCAAATACATTCTACTCTATCAGGACCCAAGTAGAGAGTGGGATTCGACTTAAGGCAGGGGTATCCTAATCATGGCAAAGGGACGCTTCACATGGGTAAGAGGAAAGAAATGCTGAAGAGGGATAGGAATATCACTCTTCCAAACGTAAGTGAATCTGATGAGCTGACAATCCTCAATGTGGGGCTTTGCTACAGAGCTTCAAAATGAGGCAGTAACTTCTAACCCTTCAGGTTGAAAACAGGTCCAATAAATACGGGATCAAGCTTTGTTTCTTCCAGAGAAAGTCAAAGTATAGGAGATACTACAGAGTTAACTATTAACAAGTCTTAGAGGTCTACAAAAGGGTATGATGGCAGGAAAAGAAATTGCAGCCAGGGGCACCTGGGTGGCTCAGTTGGTTAAGCGACTGCCTTCGGCTCAGGTCATGATCCTGGAGTCCCAGGATCGAGTCCCGCATCGGGCTCTCTGCTTAGTGGGGAGTCTGCTTCTCCCTCTAACCTTCCCCCCACCCATGTACTCTCTCTCTCTCTCTCATTCTCGCTCTCCCAAATAAATAAATAAACCTTTAAAAAAAAAAAAGAAATTGCAGCCAGATACTGAGACATTCTACTAAGAACAGCCTAACACTGAGATGTATTACCAAAGGAGGCTAAACATTCTAATAGCTTTGAAGAAAAAGGCAAAACATGATGGTTTTAAATGCAATCTGCCCCCTCCTCAGAAACATGAAAACAGAATATAAATGAATGTCCCCTTAAACAGACTCATAATTTCAGATTCATAATTCTCCCATAAACCAGGACCACTATTCCAAGGCATTTTCTAGACTAAACCTCCGTCAAACTAGGTTGGCATTCCCGCCAATAAGCAGTTAGGCAAAGACCTATGCCTTCACTGTCCAATATGACATCCATTAAGCACACATGGGTATTGGGTATTTGAAGCGTGCCTGGTCCAAGTTGAGATGGGCTATATGTATAAACTACACACCAAGATTTAGAAGACTTTAGCACCAAAAAAGAATGAAAATTATCTCAATCACCTTTTTATACTGATGGTGAAGTGAAATCATACTATTTTGGATATATTTGGGTTAAATAAAATATACTTTTAAAATTAATTTCACTTGTTTCTTCTTAATTTTTTTTTAATATGGCTACTAGAAATTGAAAAGGATTTGTGTCTTGCATTGTTTTCTCTGTCGGACATGATAAGCAAGCACCACTGTATCAAACACACGTCTCAGTTGCTAAACACTTCACAGGTGAACAAAAGAATGAAGATGGGTAAACAGTATCAGGGGCCTTCAGAGGACTCTTACCATGGCAGAGAAGCAGCCACTACGTTGTTTTAAGGAAATGATAAGCTCAAACAACAAACTTCCTGGAAAAGGAGATGCTGTAATTGCAGATTCTCTTTTCCCCCTTCTGGAGGTGTCCCAGAGACTCTCCTCTTGGGCGGGCTCACCCCCCTGCCTACCTTTGATGAGCTCCGGCCTGTATGTCTTCCGCAGCTGCTCCAGGAAGCTGTTGTAGAAGCTCTCTGCCTGCTCCGTGGGCATTGCCAGGTGGAAGTCAGGCTTATTGCCCTTGAGGACACACTGGAGGGTAAACTGGCTGATGCACAGCACCTCGTACTGTTTGTCCATCACACTCTTCGACCAGTGTTTCCCGCTTTCATCCTCAAACACGCGCAGGTTTAAAATCTTTCTGACCCTAAGAGAAAAACAGTGGTGAGAGCTACCTAAAGAATCATAAGCCCCCCAACACACTCCATACCACCAAAATGTCACCAGCATCCTGTCAAATAAGGACATAATATTGACGTAATATTATATGTATTACATATATATAAGGACAAAAGAAGCAAGTTAGTTGGGCCTTGGGCAAGTTATATGAGGTAGTCACAGGGCTGTTTTGGGATTCCTTTTTTTTTTTTTGGTCAGTCCCTCCAGCAGCTACCCACGGGAACTGGAGCTAAGAACAACCACTCACTACCTGCTCCTTCAAGTTAGTGGATATGTCAAGACATGGGTCCAATTCTAATTTTTTTATAGAAGAATTCAATCTTTACACTGGAATAAATGATACCCCCTTTCTACATCCTTTCTTGGAGCTACTCAAAATGAACCACCGGGCAAACACCATGGAGAAAACTCAAGGTTACTGCAAATATACAAAAAGGCCTGGCGAAAGCCTCCCTGACAACTGTGTCACATGCCTCTTGAGCCCCAGGAGGGCCTTTCTTATAAATGTGGATGATAAAGAGCAGCCACTTTGGGGAGCCTGGGTGGCTCAGTTGTTAAGCATCTGCCTTTGGCTCAGGTCATGATCCCAGGGTCCTGGGATCGAGCCCCGCATCGGGCCCCGCATTGGGCCCCGCATTGGGCTCCCTGCTCCGCAGGAAGCCTGCTTCTCCCTCTCCCACTCCCCCTGCTTGTGTTCCCTCTCTCGCTGCATCTCTCTCTGTCAAATAAATAGAAAGAGCAGCCACTTTGGCAAGGAAGAGAACCAGGGAACGTTTATTCCTTAGCGGGAATTAAGTTCCAAGTCTGATTTCAACCTAATACAAAGGGACATTTGGGTGGAATTACACCAGGTATGGGCACCAACAGGCAGAATAAACAGATCCACATACACCTGAAACAAATGTGCCATGTGGTGCTGGGGGTGGGAGGAAGGCAAACATGGGGACAGGGGAGGCGGCCTGTACTTAGAGAGCCAGTCAGGGAACAGCAATGACAAACTCCCCCATCTTAGTAAAAAGAGCACCAGCTTCCAAGTCAGCGAGCCTAGATTCTAACTTGAATTCAGGCTTTTTGCTACATACATGTTCATGATCTCAGGCAAGTAATTTAACCGTCTGAGCTCCAGATCCTATGCACACAATGAACAACTGAGCATTTTTTAAGTGCATAAATGGTGCCCAGATCATACTACTTAAATTGGAAAGAGAAATCATTCATAAGAAAAGAAGTTAAGTTTTTTAATAAGAGAATGGTTCATGGATAAAGGAGCAAATAGGGACCGAGGCCACTGGGTTCCAGCTCTGCTCCTGACTTAGTGGGTGTCACCTGACAAACAAACTACTCTTCCTTGGTCTCCTCACCTGCAACATGGAGATAACCATATTACATCAATGGGACACAGATAAAAGTAACAGGGGCTCACTTCATAGGAACAAAATACTATCAAAGTTCCCAGTGTATGTATATATATAACTTGGATAGGTAGATAGGTAGGTAGGTAGACAGAGATATAACCACTACATAGCCCATTCAAACAGCAGTGACTCAGAAATCTGCCTCTTACATGTGCTCCAGGTCCTTCTGTGTATCTTCCAGAGAAATACCCAGCAACACACAGATACCCCGTCCAATAGCACTTATTTGCTCTCCTCCAACTAGAAAGGAAACAAAAAGGAAAAAAGATTCAGAACCAAACAGGTGGCATGATGCACTTTTAAGTAACCAAAGGAATGTTTAAACATCACACATACTTCTTATACCTTCTTTTTTATCTAGAATGAATGAGTTCTTAAATGAATAACCATTAAGCCAAATTTTAGGGCCACATTTTCATCTGTGTTATCTTGGGTAAGACACCTCAAACTTTCCATGACAGAATTTGCCTACCTGTAAAAACAGAACAGTTTTCCTCTCCAGAGAATAAAGCTCAGCTGTATTAATTCTCTGAAAAGAGACACCTGTTTTTCTTGGGAATCAGCAAATATGGTAACACAAAATAGAGATAGCACAAAATAATAGACATTAATGTCAGAAAAATAAAGAAATAATTTTTCTACTTACTATGAAAAGATAAATATATTATATATAAAAACCACAGTTTAAAAGGTAAGCTTCAAGGTGCCTAAGTGGTGCAGTCAGTTGACATCCAACTTTTGGTTTCGGCTCAGGTCACGATCTCCGGGTCGTGGGATCAAACCCGGCGTCAAGCTCCAGAGCTCGAGACTCTCTCTCCCTCTTCCTCCGCTCCTCCCCCCTTCTCTAAAATACATAAATAAATCTTTTTAAATTTAAAAAAAAATAATTAAATAAATACATGTTAAGCTTCAAGTCAGCAAACTTCCATTATTTCCCAGTTTGGTACTAAACTTTGTATTCTAAACCAATGACCTCCAAAGCCCTTTCATTCATGCACCTCATCCACAAAAAAACAAATCTCTTAATAGATATTCCAAACATCTGTGTATGTATTTATAATCAAATGTACGCTTTACTAACATGAGGCGGTATCTCAGTGCTGGCACAGTTCTTAGGCCAAGATCCATCATTATTACGGTAAATCTAAATCATATTTCATAAGTCAATCAGAGAAAGACACGTATCATATGACCTCACTGATATGAGGAATTCTTAATCTCAGGAAACAAACTGAGTATTGCTGGAGTGGTGGGGGCTGGGAGGGATGGGGTGGGTGATAGACAGTGGGGAGGGTATGTGCTATGGCGAGCGCTGTGAATTGTGCAAGACTGTTGAATCACAGATCTGTACTTCTGAAACAAATAATGCAACATATGTTAAGAAAAAAGAAAAAGAAGAAGATAGCAGGAGAGGAAGAATGAAAGGGAGTAAGTCAGAGGGGGAGACGAACCATGAGAGATGATGGACTCTGAAACACAAACTGAGGGTTCTAGAGGGGAGGGGGGTTGGGGGGATGGGTTAGCCTGGTGATGGGTATTAAAGAGGGCACGTTCTGCGTGGAGCACTGGGTGTTATGCACAAACAATGAATCATGGAACACTACATCAAAAACTAATGATGTAATGTATGGTGATTAACATAACAATAAAAAATTTTTAAAAAATCTAAATCATATTTCAAATGTTAAATCTTTGTAACTTTCAAAATTTTTGGCCAACTTTTTGCCAAATCTCATTAGATTACTGATGTCTTGTTATTTTACCATCTATTAACCTAATGTTCCAATCAGGAGAAGGGTAGACTCTGCCATTTTCCTGTTTGCTTCTGCTGGATAATAGTATCTATAAATATACCTGACAAGGCATCACAGACTGGAACGTGTTGCCATATCCTGCAAGCTAAGGAAAGAAAGAGAAACCCCCCATCTTCCCCCACCTAGCTGACAAGGGACCACCTGACATGCAGACCCCAGGGGAGTATCAGCATCAACACATTCCAACCCAAATATCAGTAAAGCTTAATTTCTCTTCTTTTTATGCTAAGAAGTATTTTCTTCTGTGTTGCTTTGCTTATAATGGACTATGAGTGATTTACTGTCCTTTGAGCCAATGACTCAGAAGCTGAAACAGAAATAATCTATCCTGAAATAAGCAGTAAACAATTGGGGTGGTTCACTTGTTTGGGGTGGTTCACTTGTTTGTGGTGCTTTAGAAAAAGCTTCCGGCTTTATTTGTTCTTTAAAGAAGTCACTATTATTTTCTTATAATATCAATGTATTTTTTTAAATTTTCCCCATAGTTAATGATGTAATGTATGGTGATTAACATAACAATAAAAAATCTTCCCCATAGTATGTTTTAAAAGCTTAAATATAATGGTTATTGAGTTATAACCACTATTAAATTAATGCATAAGCATTATAGAAAATTTGGAAAATATAAGAAACAGGAAGGAAGGGTGCCTGGGTGGCTCAGTTGGTTAAGTGACTGCCTTCGGCTCAGGTCATGATCCTGGAGTCCCAGGATCGAGTCCCACATCGGGCTCCCTGCTCAGCAGGGAGTCTGCTTCTCCCTCTGACCCTCTTCCCTCTCGTGCTCTCTATCTCTCATTCTCTCTCTCTCAAATAAATAAATAAAATCTTTAAAAAAAAAAAAAAAAGAAACAGGAAGGAGAAAAAGAACACCCAAAGATAAGCACTTTAATATTTCAATGATTTCCTTTTGATATTTTCTCTATCCATGGGTTTACTTCATATTTGTTTTCAACTACTGTAATAATATTGTATATAAATTTTTGTGTCCCATCTTTTCTCTTAACAGTGCCGAAGGACTTTTTCATGTTATAAGCTTTTCCTAAACATCTTTTAATAGTTACATCCCATCAAGTGGAATTGTTGCAGTCCATCCAATGGACCGACTAACCATCCCATTTGGCTGGATATATTGTTTGTTTCAAAATTCTCACTTCAATAAATAACACTGTGGGGAAAATCTTTGTATACTAGACTTTAGACTTTACATTTTAGAGCAGTTTTAAATTCACAGCAAAACTGAGCAAAGATACAGAGATTCAGGTGTCTGGGTGGCTCAGTCGGTTAAGTGTCTGACTCTTGATTTGGGCTCAGGTCATGATCTCAGGGTCATGAGATCGAGCCCTACATCAGGCTCTGCGCTGGGCATGGAGCCTGCTTGAGATTCTCTCTCTCCTTCTCCCTCTGCCCCACATCCCCTCTCAAAAATAAAAGAAAAAGGTACTATACTCACTGTCCCCATACATGCATAGCTTCCCCATTGTCAACATCCCCCACCAGAGGGGTACATTTGTTACAACTGATGAACCTGCACTGACACATTATTATCACTCAAAGTCCATAGTTGACATTAGGGTTCACTCTTGGTGGTGTACATTCTATAGGTTTGGACAAATATACAGTAACATGTATCCACCATTACAGTATCATACAGAGTAGTTTCACTGCTCTAAGAATCCTCCCTGCTCTGCCTATTCATCCCTCTAAATCTTTTCCTACAATTAGTATTCTCTTCTTAGAACAGATTCTGAAAAGTAGAATCACTATTCAAAGTGATTCAAATCACTACCTGAAGAGTTTCATGCTTCTCCCTCTTCCTCAGCCACTCTCTCATGCTCTCTCTCTCTCTCTCAAATAAATAAAATCTTTAAAAAAAAAAAGTTTTTTTTTAAAAGGGGGGGCGCCTTGGGGCACCTTGGTGGCTCAGTCATTAAGTGTCTGCCTTCGGCTCAGGTCATGATCCCAGGGTCCTGGGATCGGCTCTACGGGAAGCCTGCTTCTCCCTCTCCCACTCCCCCTGCTTGTGTTCCTGCTCTCGCTCTCTCTCTCTCTGTCAAATAAATAAATAAAATCTTTAAAAAAGGAGGGGGGCTCCTGGGTGGCTCAGTCAGTTAAGTGTTTCCCTTCAGCTCAGGTCATGGTCCCAGAGGGGCTCCTTGCTCAGTGGGGAGCCTGCTTCTCCCTCTCCGAGCTCTGCCACTCTTTCATGCTCCCTCTTTCTTTCACAAATAAATAAGTAAAATCTTTAAAAAAAATTTTTTGAAGGGTTTCAACATTTTTATAATGTATTACTGCCTTAATAAGAAACATATTATGCCCCAAAGCCTATATATAACATAGTTTGCTCTCTTATTTTGGAGTAGTTTTGTTCCCCCCGCCACTCCAGGGACAAGTAGAAGAACTAGGAGATCCAAAGCGTTCTTTTATTATAGACAAATGGATTTCCAAGGGAAAAAACTTGAGTCACTAATTTAGACAACAGATCACAGGGCTAGAAAAGACCTGAGATATTTGGTCAATTTACCATGTACACTGGCATCACCACTGACCTCTTCTTCAAGAAGAATTCACAACCTCTCAAATTAACTCATTCAAGCCCATTTTAGATCCTCTTCCCAACATTCTATGATTCTATTCAGATTTTCGCTGCTGAAGCTAAGTGATGGGACATGGGAGTTACCACACTTTGCCACATGTGTAACCAAAAGAATATGTTTGAAATGTTCCATAATAAAGCTTTTAAAATTAGATTATCACAATAACCATGCTAAGGCATCAAAATGTGCTTGACCAACCTCATTAAGTGAGCCTGCCACATAATTAGATATGACTCCTAATATTGTACTCTGTCCCAACCATAAAATCAGAAGTGACATTTTAGAACCCCCATGATAAAATGCCATTCGTGTACAGCCACGTTTCAGTGAAGCCAGTCACATTCTAAAGGAATCAGAAAATCTTTCCATTACAGTTCAACTAGAAGGCCTGGCTAACCTGAAGATCCCTCCAGCACTGAGAGAGAATTCCATTTTATTTAAAACTTCCCACAATTAACACCCTTCTCTTTTTTTAAATACCCTTACCTTTTTTAATATGCAGCTTTGTTTGTTTTTTAACCAAAAGCACCAATTTAAATAGTAAACTAAAATCACTCAAACTATTCAGCAAATCTCTCAAAATACATGTTCTCAATATTCCAGATCAGCAGAATGAAGAGTGCAAGAGAAAATTAGAACTTAAATTCCTCAAAGTTCACTCATTGTTCGTGATGACCACACAGAGCAGAATGCAAGATTTTGCTCAAAAAAGCAAAAACTCTTTTCATCTATGTATTTCCCCAGTTTTAGTTCATTTAAATATTAACTGAAAGGCCAAAAAAACCTTTGTTTTAAAAGCCAGGTAAATCCCAAAGCTATTGTGTTCCCTATTACTCCAGGACCATATCCAAAATCAGTTAACAGAACAGCTTAGACATCATTAGGTAGCATTGAAAAGTAGACTCTCAGATCTAAATATATGATTTTGCTGGGTGCGTTGTTTCTTTAGGGGATTTTGTTGCTTTGTTTTTAAATTTAGGTTTTTGTGGACACAAGAACACACATTTGGTGTAGACTGGTTAAAGAAAAGGATATCTGGAATTACCTGGACTGAGACAATACTGTAAGTCTGAAGAAAAAAACCAGAAGACTTAGAAGACAATCTTCAAAGTAGTCATTAAAAAAATTTGAACATCTTTTTATCTTGGTTTGACTTTCTAAAACGACTACCTTATATACATTAATCATCTGGATCTCTGATGTTCGAACTAGACTACAGTGATCCAGCAATGACGAATGGCTGGGTGGCTTGGTCCACAAGAAACTGGTGGCAAAGAGAAATATTTCATCCAGAATTCTTTAGATTCTGACCCCATCCCTACAGGGTTAGAGAAGTGAGAAAGAGAGGTGTCCTGGGGGGCGGGGATCATTCTGTATCTAGCCTGGGTGCTGGTCACGTGGGTGTGCACAACTGTCAGAACTCATCCATGTGAACAACTCTTCATATCTGTGCATTTTATTGGCAGTCAAGCTCCATAAAAATTGGGACATGTAGACAATGGGCAAGAATGGGAAATTTAAAACAGAACGTTGTAAGAGGGGAATCGGGGTCCTTGCTCCGGAAATGCTGCCTACGTGTTGTTTGTGCAACATTCCACAGAAGAACGGGCCATGGGGATGCTCGGAGGTTCTGCCACCCGATACTTGGGACCAAAAAAAAAAAAACAAAACGACAATAAGGCGCCTTTATCGTGAACCCAAAGCAGAACCCTGCAGCCAGGGCCGCGCGTGAGTGCGCGGGGCACGTGGACTGCTCCGCGGCCGCGGCGGCGCCCGGAGCCAACCCGGGGACTCCGGGCTGCGGGGGCAGAGCTGGCCAGGGCCCGCAGCGGCCGTAGCGGCCCTGGGGACGGCCCGGCGGAACCCTCGCGGGGGCGGCCAGTAACTGCCGGGCGCGGGGTCAGGGGTGGCTCCTCCCGGGCCCGGCCCCGGCCCCGCCCGACTGACCTGTGACGCTGGCCCGGGTGACGCGCTGCACCACGGCTTTCATGGCGGCGGCTGGGACGAGTGGGGCGGCGCCGCGCTCCTTCCGGCCTCGCGACTCTGCGGGCGGCTCGGCGGCCGGCGCCCTCTGCGGGTGACACCAGGAAGCGCGCCGAACCGCCCGGTCGGCCCCGGTTGGCGGCGACACGCCCACGTCGGCCACGCCCACCCACAGGTCGGCCCCGCCCGCGTCGGTCACGCCCACCTGGTATAGGTCCCGCCCCTTCCTCGGTCTCGCCCCAGCCACAGGTGAGCCCAGCCCCCACCAGATACAGAAACCCCTGCCCGGCCCCTGCCCCTACGCAGTTTCTGCACCGGATGTTTCTCACATCCCCGACCTGAAAGCCAATCATCCCTAAATCCCAGCTTTGTCCTGAACCCTAATCTTGTGCTCCGACTTTCACCCTTCCACCCCTCTGTCCTGACGCTCCCAAATTCCTTTTCCCTTGTTTTCCTGCTTCAGTGGCTTCTCATAAACCAGACAGAACAGAATCTGCTGCCTAAAATAGCCCTTTAACTACGGTATGTAAGTATTCTTACATACCGTAAGTCATATTCATATGACTTAGCCATGCCATGGCAGTGCAGAGATCTATGAGCCTGTAATTCTAATTCCTCTAATACTAACACTTAGCAGCTCCACTCACCCAGGGTTGTTAGGAGATTTAAATAAAACAGACTGTGTAAAAATCATTCGAAAGCTGCAAAGGACTGTACAAGTATTACCCTAACAAATTATTACCACTGATTAAAAATAAGCCCCTTGCAGGAGCGCCTGGGTGTCTCAGTCGGTTAAGTGTCTGTCTTCTGCTACAGTCATGACCTCAAGGTCTTGGGATCCAGCCCCAAATCAGGCTCCCTGCCTAGTGGGGAGTCTGCTACTCCCTCTCCCTCTAACCCCCCCCTCCCCTCGCCTCTGCTCAGGCTCTCTCTTGCTGTCTTGATCTCTGTCTCAAATAAATCTTTAAATAAATTAATTAATTCAATAAAAATAAATAAAAAAGAAACCCCTTTCAGTGTGCCTTCTTCTCCAAGCCCTCTAATAGTATTAGTGGGTGTGGTGTGATGACATTCAGAACAGGCTACTCCAAAATATGGCACCTTGGCATATTGAATACTGTAAACTAACCGAGCTTGAGAAAGCAGCAGGATCAGGAAAGTCACTCTGAACTTCCCTCCACCCTTCTCCCCTGAAACCAGTCAAAAATCCTTGTGTGAGAGGTGCCTTCCTCCACCCTGATCCGCAAAGACAAAGGGATGGCAAGAACAAACAGGCCTTGCTAAGTTTCTCCTGGTTTACTATGCTTACCTCATACTCCTTGACCTATTACGTTCCTCCATGATGTCCACTCTTCATCAAAAATAGCATAAGAAGGGGCGCCTGGGTGGCTCAGTCGTTAAGCGTCTGCCTTCGGCTCAGGTTGGGATCCCAGGGTCCTGGATTCGAGCCCCGCATCCCATCGGGCTCCCTGCTCCGTGGGCGGCCCACTTTTCCCTCTCCCACTCCCCCTGCTTGTGTTCCCTCTCTCTGTCAAATAAATAAATAAAATCTTTAAACAAAAAAATAACATAAGAATATACAAGTCTGTTTCTTTGAGTTTTCTTTTTCTTGTGAAGGCTCCCCTGTCCTGTAAAACTTAAATAAATCTGTGAACTTTTCTCCTGTTATTTTCTTTGTCAGCTTAATTGTCAGACCCAACCAGAGACCCGAAGAGTGAGAAAAACTTAAAATTTGAAAATTTTTCACATTAAATCAGCATAGCTCAAACATTTCAATGTCAAGATCCCTTTACATTCTCAAAAATTATTTTTTTTAAACAGGTTGGCAATTTCTTTTTTTTTAAAGATTTTTTTTTTATTTATTTATTCATGAAAGACGCGAGAGATAGAGAGAGAGAGAGAGAGAGGCAGAGGGAGAAGCAGGGTCCCAAGGAGCAGGGAGCCCGATGCGGGACTCGATCCCAGGACCCTGGGATCATGACCTGAGCCGAAGGCAGATGCTTAACCATCTGAGCCACCCAGGCGCCCCTCAAAAATTATTTAACACCCCAAATAGCTTTGGTTTATCTAGGTTGTATCTAAAGAGATTTACTGTATTAGAAATTACAACAAAGAAAAATCATTAAGCATTGATTTATAATGCATTTAAAAACAACAATAATAAATTCATTATATGTTAACATTAGAGCAATGAAGTCATTACACACCATGGAACCTCTGGAAACCCCCATTGTACACTCCTGAAGGAGTAAAAGTGGAAAAGGCAAATATTGTCTCTATATCATTATAGAAAGAGTTGGCAATCACACATCCTCTAAAGGGACACTTTGAGAACTGGTGGATTTGATAATGGCATTAAATCAATATTAATTTCCTGATTTGTATGTAAGAGAACATCCTTGTTTATAGAAAATACACACTGAGGTATTTAGAAGTAAAGGCACATCATATCTTCAATTTATTCTCAAGTGCTTTGGAGAAAAATAATACATACAGAGAAAATAAAGAGAGTGATAGAGCAAATGGAGTAAAATGTTGATAGTTTGGAAGGGAAGGACGCTTACTTTTCTGCAAGTTGGAAATTATTTCAAAATAAAACGCTTTAGGGGCCCCTGGCTGCCTCATTGAGAGGAGCGTGCAACTCTTGATCTCAGGGTTGTGAGTTCGAGCCCCACGTTGGGTGTAGGGATTAATTAAAAATAAAAAACGTTATTAATTAATTGAAGGTTTTAAAAAGATACCAAAACACCCAAGTTCGTTTTTTACATTTATTGACCTAAAAAAGGTCAACACCAGAGGCAAAAGCAGGTCCCTCTTCCAGGGGCCTCCTCCCCTCTGCAAGAGTTCTCCTTTGGCTTCTCAAGTACTACTCTCCCCGGGGTTCCCTCCTTCCCATCTTCCTCACTCCACTTGCACCCTGGCTTTCCTCTCCATTCTCATCTATTTTAAATTCTGCCTTCATGCCCCCAACTCACATTTTCATTTCTGCTCCAGACATCTCCTGTGAGTTTGTGCTTCCAAATACCTTCTTCACATCCCCATTTCCATGAATCAGAGATGTCACAAAGTGAATAGATTTTAAATGGAATTCAGGATATCCACCCCTGTTGTGTAATAATTTGTCTGGTCTTTGTTCTGGGTTTCTGGCACAGAGCTTCTAAAATCCTCAGAATCCCCCAAGAGATAGGAGTGTGTTTGTTCTTTGCACCCCTTGATCACACCTGACTTTATGCCATTAAGCCAGTTCAAGAGGGGAGCTAGTCACTGGAAAGCCCCATCACGTGAGTCGTTGTGACAAACCTGAGGGAGTCACAGAAACTCCCAAATCTGTAGCCCATTGGTCAGAAATGCAGTGGCCTGGACCCCTGAAATGAACCTGGCATCTGAAGGAAGAGCAGCCTTGTTGGGGATGTGCCCTTAAACTTGCAGGGTCAGGGCTGTCTGGATGGTTAGTGCCAGGACAGAACTGCAATACACTGGTTGGTGTTAGAAGAACTCCCTAATCCCTCCATACTCCACCACCTGGGCCATCACTATCTAAAAATGGCTCCAATGTTTCCCAGAGTCCTAAGTGACTTGTAGTTGCCCCCTTCCCCTCTCCCCAAGTATCTAGTCCATCACAAATCTTCTCACTCTCCAAAACATACCCCCAAGTGCCCTCTTCTCTCCATCCCCATGTCATCCTGTCACATGCTCCCCCATCATCTCTCACTTATCTCCCTACTGCCATATTGGTCCCCCTCCAACCCATTCTCCATGGAGAAATCAAAGTGATGTTCCTAAAGTATAAATTCTTCACTTTTCAGACTCTGGTCTTCTTCACATTTCTCAAATAAATCCATTTGTTCCTACCTCAGGACCTCAGCATCTGCTGGTCCTCCATCTGGAATAGTCTCCCCTCATTCTTTGTACATCTTGCTCCTCTCCTTCCTTTAAGTTTTCAGCTCAAACGCTTCCTCCTCAGACAGACCTTCTCTGACCACACAGACAAAAGCATCCCTGTTCCCCGTTATTTCCCGTCACCATCCCATGGTTCTTCCCTCATATTCTGGCAACTTTTTTATTTAACGTTATTTATTTACTTGAGAGATAGAGAGAGCACGAGCAGGGGGAGGGGCAGAGGGAGAAGCAGAGTCCTGGGATGGAGACCTGAGCCAAAGGCCGACGCTTAATGGACTGAGCCACCCAGGTGCCCCCCTCCTCCGGCAATTTTCAATTACTCTAGTGCCTGCTAGGCTGTGTTCTCTTCATGTCTCTCATGCTTACCCTTGTATCTGAAATATCTAACACAGTACCCATAGCTCCAATAACATTGTTGCAATGAATAAATGTGTGAACGTGGCTTCTTGCTTATATCCTAGACTTATAGTATGGCTGTGGCTGTTCTAGGAATTCTATCCAGACCCAATGTCCAGAGGTACAGGAGACCATCTCTTCCGGATCCTTCCTCTGAAGCTAGGACATCTTGCCCGGAAGCCCTTCACACTTGGCTAGCCAGAATGAGATCACATGACCATGCTTAACCCAATCACTGGAAGGGAGATGGGACTTGATTTCCCCACCCACCCACCCACATGATTCGCTGAGACAAAAGGTTCTCACCTCCGGGCACACAGCCCTCCAGAGAGTTACAGGAGGTGTGTGTGAAGGAGGTCTGGAGCTGTCACAGTGTCTGGAGGTTGTTACTGGCATTTAATGACCAGAGATTTTGAAATGTTGAGGCTCTTGCAACACCTGGGGCAGCCCACAAACGGGATTGACCCATCACAGTGCCAGGAGTGCCCCCTTTGAGAAACACTGACTTGGACCAACCAGGACCTGCCCTACGGATGGAGCCAGTCCCCCTAAAGCACAGGATGGGGTAGACTCACTGGTCTGTAATAAAGCAGGAATGGAAGTAGTGGATGTCTGGAAGGCAATCAGCAGTGTCTACCAAAAGGTCGTTTTCAGCTCAATGGCATGTTGAGCAAGTTTTATTGAAGAGGCTTCTGCCCGAATCTTTTCAGTTATCTCTGTAAATTCCTGAAAGCAGGATTGCTGGATCAAAGGATACGCCATTTTCCATTTTGATACACATTGCTAAACTGCGCTGCTGAAGAAGTATATG